AGATCGGCACAGCTCCGGCCATTGCGGCCGCTTGGGGAATGAATCAGTAGACAGAAGATCTTCCTCTCTGTCTTTCCTCCTCTCTGTATATCTGACTTTCCAATAAAAATAAATAATTTTTTTTAAAAAAGGCCAAAAAAGATAGGAAGCTTAGTACCCATAAATTATGGTGGCTTGGATTGGATTGGAGTTAGTGAAGGCAGGAACTAGATTAATTAGATACTTTGGAAGAAGCAACAACACATAGTGCCTTAGATAACAGGTTAGGAAAAGAAAATCAATGTGTGTTGATGGTGCCATTTATCAAGGTTGGTGGAAAGGATGTAACCTAGAGTGCTAAAAGTGAACAAATATTTGGAACTCAAAGTGCATTTATTATAAGTGAGGCTTAGAGAAAAGTAATGCTTAGAGAGATTAATAATTTGCCCAAGGTAATTTGTGGCAATTGGCAATTTGTTAAAGTAGGAAATCTTCATGGAGAAATTAGAAAGATGAACTTGGAAAATACAATGAGTGGTAGTGGAAGCTTTTGAGTGCTAAATCAGCTGTTATATACAGCTGGTTAGAGAACCACTGTAGGGAAAGGAGAATATGAAAGTAATGTTTTAGGAGGATTTAATTTAGTGGTAACAGTAGAAACAAAGGAGGAAATAATGATAGGTGAAGAAGGCAAAATTTCACTCCCTGAAATAGGAATAAAATACAAGTTGAGAAAGATCAGCAGGACAGTTCAAGTCTGAGGTTCCTGTGATGTGTCGAGGTAAAGCAGTTCAAAGAGACAGCAGATATATGGGTCTAAAACTCAAGAGTGACGTCTAAGCCCAAGAGTCATTATAAGGGTAGTAATTTGTGTACTAAGAGCAAATAAAATTGACATAAGAGGCTATGAGGAGTGAGAAAAGCATGAAAGAAAAATGAGAACCACTAACATTTAAGAAATGGCCAAGGGTAAAGGAAACCTTGGAAACAACACAGAATAAAGAGAACAATAGTTTTAGAGGCCAGTGGAGGAGAGTTTAAGTAAAAATGCAGTGTTGAGTTCATTACAGCCTTGTTCCTACTGGCGAATGTGTGGAGACAACCTATAGGCACATTGGCAGTTAAATAGCTAAATCAAGGTCTGTTAGTATCATAAACTTAAATGTCTGCAGAGGATGTGCTATTTTAAAATGCAGAAAGGAAGACAGACATAAGGAAGTTAGTGCAGAGCTGGTTATAGGGTAAGCCTGGCATTATACCTGCTGTCTTTTCTGCATGATTTAGCCAATTAACAGTGGCTTCCAGCTCATGCAAAAGCTAAATAAATCATGTAAATACACATATTGGCTAAATAATAATTCACTTCCAGCCCTTTTTTATATGCCTCTGTATAGTTTCCAGATTTATGGAAAGCAAAACGGTGGAAAACATTTAACTTTCTTTAGTTATGGTTATGACTTTTCTGCCTATCGTTCAGGTTCCAGAGTTTTGTCAGCATCTGCCATTTTCCTTATATCCTTTACTGTTTTCTTTGTTCTCCAGAGTTTAGACATTTTTACTCTTTTACTATCATTTTAATGAGAATTTAAATTGGGAACAGAAGAAATGTACAGCTATGTTGTCGTTTAAAATTTGTGCATATATTTTAAAAAATGACCAAGGAAAACACAAGTGAGGGTCATGTGAGTTTGCTGACTGTAAATTTTCTGTTCCTCAGATATACTATGAATATTTCTTAGTTATGAAAAAGAGAATCATGTGTACTGACATTGAAAAACATGTTTCACTCATTAAATAAAAGCAAAGTTTCAGAGCAATATTATAGTTTGATTCTATTTTATATGTGTTTTAAAGGTATTGTTAATTTTAGAAGACCATGATTAGGCAGCTAGCATCCTACATGGATGCCAGTTTGTAAACTGACTGCTGCACTTACATGGGAAAAACAATGGAAGATGGCCCAAATGTTTGGATCTCTGCCACTCATGGGAAAGACCAAAATGAGACCCCTGGCTTTGGTTTGGCCCAGCCCTGACCGTTGTAGCCAGCTAGGGAGTAAACAAGCAAATGAAAAGTCTGTCTCCTCCCTCTCTCTTTTTCTCATTTTTGGTGTGTGTATGTGTGCCCTTCTTTCTCTAGAACTAACTTTCAAATAAGTAATGAATCTTTAAAAATAAAAAAATGGGGTCCAGCATGGTGGCCTAGCAGCTAAAGTCCTTGCCTTGAATGCGCCAGGATCCCATATGGGCACCAGTTCTAATCCTGGCAGCTCCACTTCCCATCCAGCTCTCTGCTTGTGGCCTGGGAAAGCAGTCAAGGATGGCCAAAAGCCTTGGGACTCTGCACCCATGTGGGAGACCGGAAAGAAGTTCATGGATCCTGGCTTCGGATTGGCATAGCATCGGCCATTGTGCTCACTTGGGGAGTGAATCATCAGACGGAAGATCTTCCTCTCTGTCTCTTCTTCTCTCTGTATTTCTGACTTTCCAATAAAAAATAAAATGAATCTTTAAAAATAAATAAATAGAAAATTAAAACAAAAAGGAATGGTTAAAAGGGCCAAATGCACTAGAAAGGTGAAATTAATACTGTGAAGTATCAAGAAAAATTTTAAAACTGTAAAGTGTCTACAGGATTCGAAAATTAGGAATGATCACAGTGTTGTGAAATGAAAAATGATCTCGTGAAGGAAATATAGGATACAAGAAAATGGACATAATGGTTTAAATTTTTAAGAGAGCATTCCAGGCAATGATATCGTTAAAGGAGGAAGTAGAATTGAAGCAAGATCTGAGGTTTGGGAACCAAAGGGATGGAGGATTTTTTTCCTAATAGCTAGGAACTTTGAATATATTCCATAGCCTATGGAGGAATGATCTAGGAGAAAGGGAAGAAAAGACAGAAGAGGGATGACTTCAAGCAGAATGATTTCAGAGCTTTTCTTGTCTTTCTCATCTGTTCAGTGAAGATTAGACTCCTCTGCAAAACTCAGAGGAAACCAGGAAGCTCAATGAAGAATGAGGGCTTTAGGTAAGAGGGCTTGGACTGGATGGACTTTGAAGTTTTTTCAAGTCTTCAGCTCTACAAGTCCAATTTATTTGGGCTGGTCCTACTAAGAATAGACCTCACAGAAACTAAGGCCCTGCTTTAATGTGGCTTGAGCTGGGAATCCAGGCTTATTAGTGAAAGAGATTAGAATGAAGAATTTCTGTTTCTTGAGAGAAGCAAAGCATTCTTCCAGAGTTGCATCACAAAATCTGGTAAAGTCAGCACTTCCGCTAGTCCCTTATCAAGCTAGAAGCTCTCATTTTCTTTTAAGTGCACTTCCCTTTTTCCAAAGACAATAATTTAGAGCCTGCTCTGCCAAGAACCAGTATATTTTTGGAATCCATTTCTTCACCTCACCAAGGTCACAGTGAGTCATGCTGTGAGTTCATTGCTCCTTAGAAATCTGTGAGATGGAGGATAATGAGCATCTTCAGTGCCACCCCCTGCCCCAGGAGGATTCTAAGCTCAAGGCTTCTAAGAGTGACGCCCTCCTCACCAAAGCCAGAATACCATCTGGTAGACACTTTGGGCTAAGCTCTATCCTTTGGGAAATTTTGGATGTTACCATAAACAGGGCATAAAAACTTGTCAAGTGAAATGGTTTCTTTTATGACATCTTTTGCTTTCAGGAGGCTGTTTTGAATAAAAACAGTAGAATATGACTGTCTTTCCCAGGGACCCCCTATCAAAGGACAGATTTGAGCTTACACTTTTCACATATATATTTTTTGTAAAGATTTTTTATTATTGATTACATTGCATTATGTGACACAGTTTTATAGGTATTGGGATTCCCCCCAGCCCTCCCCAAACCCTCTCCCCATAGTGGATTCCTCCACCTTATTGGTAAAGATTATTTTTTAAAATGAAAGGCAGATTCACAGAAAGAAGGAGAGACAAAAAGATATTTCCTCCACTGGTTCACTTCCCAAGTGGCCGCAATGGCCAATGCTGAGCTGATCTGAAGCCAGGAGCCTGGAGCTTCTTTTGGTTCTCCCACACAGGTATACGGTCCCAAGCTTTGGGCCATTCTTATTGCTTTTCCAGGCTACAAGCATGGAACTGGATGGGAAGTGGGGCTACCAGGACATGAACTAACACCCATATGGGTTGCAGGTGCATGCAAAGCAAGGACTTCGGCCACTAGGCTGCCATGCCAGCCCACTTTTCACACATACTAAAGGTTAATTAAGTCTTCTAATTCTTAGTTGGTGTCAGCCTCTTCTGCACACCCACTTTTTTGTCCATTGAAGGAATGACAAGATGGGGCAAGAGTTTGTTACCAAAGGATGTCAGTGAGTATGATTTCTGTGGGTTCTGCCAGATTCTGTATTGTGTCTGCTGATGATGTTACTTAGAAGGTGTGAATTCTGTCTTCTCATCTCAACTACCCCTCATATGACTCAGTCCATGGGAGGGCCAGGGCATGAAACCATGAGCAGGCTAGGTTAAAAAACTGAATTGTAAGATAGTGAGACTTAAAACAGAAGTAGATAGGGATTCTGACTTCCAGGGCAAGTAGATTTCTCCAATCAGGGAGAAATAAGCTGTCCTTTTTATAAGACACTGACTTACAGCCACATGTGAAGATATAGTGATCACTTCTTCCAAACTAAAGCTACTTCCCCCTGAAGTCCCCCTGTAAGGAGAGAAAAGGCACTAGGCTGAGGTTAGTCCAAATCACAGAGATCCCACAGTCCTCTGGAGCTGGAGGATACTCACTGGCCCTGTCCACATTTCTCAGTGTCCTGCCTTGCTCTTTCATTCATTCAGAGTGGCCTACTGCAAACTGGTTTATAGTACTTCGCTCTGACGATACCAATAAAGTCTCCCTTTACAGCAATAATAATAAATAAGTAAAGATAAAGCTCAGTTACTTGAGTCTCCCTCATTGTTTCTGTGGCACCTGGGGAACAGTGGGACAAAGGGGAAGTGACCTGTCACTGAGAAACTTCTGCTTTGTGTTCCCCAAGCAACCTCACAACATTCTGCAGAGGCGCCTCATGGAGACCAATCTATCTAAGCTCCGAAGCAGTCGTATCCCTTGGGCCTCCAAGACCAACAAGTTCAGTCAAGCTAAGGCTGAGGAGCTCAAGAAGTCTCAGGGGCTAAAGAAATCTGAGGAGGATGACATGATTTTGGTCTCTTGCCAGGTAAGGTTAATATTTTCTGAAAAGTAGGATTTATAGCCTTTGATCATTCCAGTCATGGAGTCCTATCCTCCAAGGTTTATGGAGTATGGATCTGATCATGAATTCCTAAATGAGCTTTAAGGTGTATGCAGTGTTGTGTATGATGTGCATCTTCATGGAAGACCAAAGCTTTCAACTGGTTTTCAAAGGATTTTGATTAAAAATATCCAAAGATTATGAGCTACTTTATATATAGAATGAAATACTCAAAGTCCCTTGGGATCTTCATCTTCTATCAGTCCTGGACCCATCAGAAAGATCCAATGAAAGGCAGATTGAGCAGTTTGTAAAGAAAGGATAATACTCACCCATAATTGGGGAGCATGTGTTCCAGGCCTGCCTTTCATTTGACATCTGCTGCCTACCCTCTGCATCTCTTTTCCCTTTTGCTTTTCTGGCTCCTGCTGAACAGTACATTTCCTCCTCACAGTGTGCTGGAAAGGATGTGAAAGCCTTGGTGGACACAGGCTGTCAATATAATCTCATCTCCTCAGCCTGCGTGGACAGACTGGGGTAAGTAACCACTTGTGCTACATGCAAGTCAGATGTGAATGCACTTTTTGCTTGAATCTATTTTGAGGTTAGAAAAATTCTCAAAGGGTCTCCACAGAGGCTCTAAGAGAGCTTGGAGGGCTCAGACTGCAAACAGAAACTGAGTCTTTTGAAGAGCAGAAGAGTGGTGGATTGTCAGCTGGGAGAAACCAATGATCCAGGAAACCTTGGACACACCTTTAACTCCACCTGTTAGGTTCTGAGGAAAGTCTTGTGGGTACTGGAATGAGTGTGTAGTTCATTATGTGTCCTGTCCTGTTCTACCAAGTAGCAAACTAGAAGGAGCTGTCTTGTTAGTGGACCCCATATGAATAAAAACAGAAATGTAGTTGGCCTTAGCTTACTCAGGCTCTTTCTGGGTCATACTTCCCATCCTCAAAAAGGACTGCTGTTGCTCCTGGGCCCGGCCCATTCTGGAGGTAATTAATCATTCGTTTCTTAGTACCTTTCTTCTCTATGAAAAACATATACAATCAGATCCTACTGTTGCTCCTGCTAGGGACAGAGTGTGAAGCAGATATCTGTTATAGGGTTCAGTTGTCTAGCAATTGGAATTGGGTTCTCATTTTGTCAGAGAAAGCCATTTTCCGTCTTACCTCCTTTTAACTCAGCGTCTACTTTTCTTTCTTTCTTTATGCCTATTATTTCCTCCAAAATACCAGATGAGCCCTGAGGTCTATCCTACAGTCAATGGAATCACCACAATATTATTTTCCTTATGTCTAGCCCTAAGTACAACAATCTGTTTCCCAACCCAAAACACTATAATGAAGCCATTACTAACATAGATTTAGTGACTTTGTTCAAGGTACCTGGACTGTTAGGAAGAACTTACACAGTGCTTTATTTCTTTTGCTGGTGACCCTTGCCATGTGATCTGTTCTTTGTTATGTCTGCCCTGTCCTCATTCCTCATCATCACTGTGACTCTTTGGCCCTATGCATGCTTTATATTGCTCTTTCACAGGGAGCCTAGATCTCAAGAGTTCTTGTGGGAAAAATCCTGAGCTGCTTGGTGTGTCGAAGAGATGAGATGTAGTGCAGCATGATGGTTCCAGAAAGACTAATAATGTCCTGGTACCTAATTAGGCAGCTGGCTGTCATGATTCCAGAGGAATTAATAACTGTCTGTAAAACTACAATTATCTTTTCCTTTTGGATAGGCGATAATGCAAAAAAAAAAAAAGAAGAAGAAGAAAGAAAGAAAGAAAAAGAAGAGAAATAGAAGTGTTGGCACAGAAAGTCCATAATTAAGTATTTATCCACCAACCCGTAATAGCTCAGTGCTAGCTATTCCAATCAGCTTTACATAACTGTGGAAAGCCCTGGTGTTGTGCGTTTTGCTTCCTCCTCTGCATAAAGTAATGAGGACTTTCTCTGTGATATTCCTTGCTGTTACCAGTTACAATACTCTGAGCAAAAAGTATTTGTCGCTCTTTAACCTTAAGCCTAAGAGAAACTGATGATGATAGATTAAAACTGAAAGGACAAAGAGAACATTAGATATTCAGCAAAGAGTCTTCTAAGCTTAGGATTAACCTGCCCTCTCTGATTTCTGTTACCCACAGGTGGGTAAAAGGACATATTAGCTAGACTGCCTCACGCATAGGTAGGGATATTAAGATGCAGAATAGGATTTTCTAAATGTGTCATGTTCCCTCCTTCACTAATACAGAGATAGTGGTGTACATCTTTTGTGAATAGGAAAGGAAACTAGTCTTTTTATGTCCTTAATGCTGTGTTTAGGATAAAGTACAGAAATATGTAGGCTGCATTGCCCTTTTCTGGTAAATCATCACCAAAAAAAATCCCAGGAGAATTATAACTGTAGTTCAAAAGGTAGGCAGTGCCAGTTTCTACCAGAAACCCCTGGCAATGTAATGGTGGTGTATTCCTCTCTGGTGCAGACTCAAGGAACATGTCCGATCTCACAAGCATGAAGGAGAAAAGCTTTCTCTTCCCCGGCATCTCAGAGTAGTGGGCCACATTGAGCACCTGGTAATCACACTAGGCTCCCTCCGCCTCGACTGCCCAGCAGCTGTGGTTGGTGAGTAGAATTGGAGAATGTTTCTATGAACCTTTATATAAACCTTCTCTCTAGTCCCTCAAAACCCTCCTGTAATCTCACACCTATAGACTTCTTCAAAATCCATGGCCCACATGTTCCTGCATTATAGAACTTGTTCCATTTTGCCCTCCAGCGTATTAGATGGACCTTGACATATGGTCACGACATGCTGACAGTCACTCAGAAAAAGAATGATGGAACTCAGATTTTAATAAAGTCAAGGAACAAGAAAATATTTTTGTGGACAGGTGAAAATGTGCCCTGAGAGCTTTCTATGCTAGTTGATAACAGAGGGCAAGATATTCCTTCTTTGCCATGAATATCATGATAATTTCCCCCCACCTCCTGCACCTCCTTTATACTTTCTATTCTAAGTTCTTGATTTTAGTATAAAAAAATCTGAGTTTGAATCTTGACTTTATCACATTTGAACTTGGAAAATTACTCAACAGATTTTTATTGGGTTGGCTGATTGGCTGAATGGATGGATGAAATCCCAACAATGATATGGCTCCCTTCTGAACCAGTTTGGAAATGGTTAAATCTTAGTTTTGTTTTTTGTTTTTATTAGAGGACAATGAAAAAAACCTGTCCCTTGGGCTCCAAACTCTGCGATCCCTGAAGGTAGGATTGATTGCATCTTCCCTTTGGTACTCTGTAATGGGGATTATCTTTTATGGGGAGCTATAGTGAGGTCATTGATAGAGGATCAGTGATTCTTTGTTCTCAGTGCATCATAAACTTGGATAATCATCGGCTGATCATGGGGAAGATAGACAAAGAAGAAATCCCTTTTGTGGAGACAATTACTTTGAATGAAGACAAGTAAGTACCCAAATGAGTCAGGTCATGTCCAATACATTGTCTCAAGCTAGAAGGTTCCCAGATATGGCATGGGATCAAGACTACCTCTTCCCACCCCCATAATTCACTATCATGCATAATTCTGTAGCCCACATTGCAGAGTGAATAGCAACTATACCACCCAATGTTGGAGGAAATGAGTAACTTTTAAACCAAAGCTTTTTTTTTCTTGCCCTCACTCTTTTTTGAATTTGTTAACATTTTTTCTGATATTTCTTTCTCATTTCAGCACTTCAGAGGCATAACCGCAGCCTGTAGTGTGTCTACGTTTGTGCATATGTACCAGGTTAACTGAGAAAACTGGGTTCGAACCAAATACAGTAGCAACTTGCTGTGGACCAAGTTCCTCCCTCAAATAGAAGCCCCAGGGGTTCCTTTCCACCCAGACCTCTCTAGACTATAGTCTGTGCTTAGAGAACTTGTCTGGTTAAAGCCATTGTTTTCTACTCCTTGGATCACTTAATTTATTAGAACTATAGACCTTTTTTTTGACACTGCCAGGTCTTACTTGTGGCCTATTTCTTGCTTCTTTCAGGAGTTCGCTTTTATTAGTCAAATATAGGAGTTACCTGTTTCTATTTCACTGTAGATACACCTGGTTCTTTTCCTGTAGTTAAATTGTATAATAAACAGGAACCTGACCTTTACCTCCTTTCAGCTATTTGAAAGAGGTACTTGATATCTTTGTCATGGCATTTAAATGTTTTTGCATTATTCTGCTGATTGCTCCAGTATGATTGAATCAAAGAGCCCAGAGTGATCAACCAGCCCAGCTCTTCCATTTAAAGGCCCATAAAAGCAACCTGATTGTCCAAGCTTATATGTTGCATCTGTGGCAGAAGGGACCTAAAACTCAGATCTGACTTCCAAATCAAGGTTCCTATGTTGCATCATATCTCCAAGCTGAAAGTGTGATGAAACTGCAGAGCAGGTGACAATGTGCTTTCCAGAGAGATGCTACGAAGATAGCATCCCTCCAGCTGGCCCTCCCTCCTGTGTGCCAAGCCCATGAAGAATTCACTAACCCAAAATCAAACCCCTTTGCTTCATACCTAAAATATGAGGGTATGAAAACAAATAAGATCTCCTAGAGGAGAGGGGCCAGAAGGAACCACAGAGGGAGGAGTTTCAATCCCTCTCTGAAAAGGAATTGGAAAACTCAGTAATAATCTATGTACTGTTGTGATTGCCCCCAAGGTCCAGGCTGTGTCTCTGCCTTGCTTTTATTTATTTATTTTTTTAAAGATTTCTTTATATTTTTTGGAAAGGCAGACATGATTTATGGAGAGAAGAAAAACGGAGAGAAGGATCCTCCATCTGCTGGTTCATTCCCCAAATGGCTGTAATGGCCAGAGCCAGTCCAAAGCCAGAAGCTTCTTCCAGGTCTCCCATGTGGGTGCAGGGTCCCAAGGATTTGGGCCATCCTCTGCTGCTTTCCCAGGCCACAAGCGGGGAGCTGGATGGGAAGTGGAGCACCTGGAATACGAACCAATGCCCATATGGGATCCTGGTGCTTGCAAGGTAAGGATATAGCCATTAAGCCATCATGTCAGGCCCTTGATGTTTACTTGTCTGTCAAGACCTCATCTATCTGGGACTAGAAGTGGGAAAAGAGATGAAAAGCTCAGATTAGGTCCAGACCAGATGAAGGTACCAAATAGAATGAATGAGTGGAGATGCTCACCTGGAAAAGCTTTTCTGGGATGGAAATAAGCAGTGAATTTTCTAATTTCCTGCCCCTTCTCAAAGGGTTGAAGAAATCACAAGAATTTTTTGAAGCTTTTTTTCCTAGGGGGTCAGCTTAAGGACACAAGTACCTATATCAGAAATCTTCCCTCTAGGGGCCCAGTGCAATGACTCAATTGGTAAATCCTCACCTTATAAACGCCAAGATTCCATATGGGCACCTGTTCGTGTCCCAGCTGTTCCACTTCCCATCCAGCTCCCTGCCTGTGGCATGGGAAAGCAGCAGAGGATAGCCCAAGGCCTTGGAACCCTGCACCCGCATGGGAGACCTGGAAAAAGCTCCTGGCTTTGGATTGGCTTGGCTCCTGCCATTGGAGCCATTTTTGGAACGAATCAACTGATGGAGGATCCTTCTCTCTGTTTTTCTTCCTGTCCATAAATCAGGTCTGCCTTGGGACCCCGCACCCATGTGGGAGACCCAGAAGAAGCTTCTGGCTCCTGGCTTTGGATTAGCTCAGCTCCTGCCATTGCCCCTATTTGGGGAATGAACCAGCAGATGGAATATCTTTCTTTCTGTATTTCCTTCTCCCTGCAAACTCTATCTTTCCTATAAAAATAAATAAAATTTTAAAAAAGAATCTACCCTTCAGTTAATAAGTGCTTGGCTACATCAGAAAAAACTAGCCACCTGTTAACATGCCATTAAGATATTCCTGAGCTGATCTTTGATTCATAGCAATTCTCAGTGTTTACTGGGTCCCACTCTGAACCTTGCCAAGTACTGCCAACTATCCTGTCTGGCATACAGCTCCTGTGCTTACCAAACAGTTCTAAAACTCTGAATGTTTTTGACTTCACAGGAGCTGCCTCAGGGCATGGATTGGATGAACCTCATTTAAACAACTAAGCAACCACATTGCATCCAGTTGTGACTAGGTCATTCCCTGGGCCTGCTTGCTGTATAGACAAGCAAGCACGGCCCCCTTTGGGAGGTCACATCTAAAGCCCAGCAGGGGTGACACCAGCCTTTCTAGCCTTCAGCGCCCCCTCCAGCCATAACCCCCTCTCACAAAGTAGGGACTTGGACCTTTCTGCTGAGGCTGCTCCACACTCCTCCCTTACCTACCAGGTTAATACTTTGGTCTGCTTCTCATCTTAGTACTGTGCTGAAATACTTCATCTCTTAATTCCCTAGTGGAAAGCTCTGAGCCTTGATTCTTGTCCACAGATGAGGCATGTTGCAGGTTCTTGTTGGCTTGTCCTTATTTGGATTCCCTCTGAACCAAAGGAGACCCAAACTCTCGGGTTCTGGAATGATGCAGCTGATTGGCCATTTGAGTTCAAGATGGTACGGCATCAGAGATATACTCAAATGTCCTTTAGTGTTCCATCTAGCCTCTGAAAATCAGAGATTTTCTAGCATAGGGATAGAAACAATTTGGGTGAAATGAGTTTAGGACATCATAATTTCATTTAGCACAGTCAACTAAATTCTTAAACAAGATAATTGTGTTTTAAGGTATAGGCTTGATAGAGGCACCTAAAAAATGTCTAAAGATACCAAAACATTTATTTTTTCTATAGATTTCATAATTCCACATCTTTTCTATCTTCGGTGAAATAAAAGCTTTTTGACTGTTAAAAGAATTTAATAATAATTTTTGAAAACTCATGAGCTTTCATGAGCCTTCTTTAAATGCTGACTAATTGATTACTCTAATAGCTCATATCTCCTGGATGTTCATGAAGAGCAGTGGGCCTACTTTTAGGGAGCTGGCAAGCTCAGTTCTTCTCAGAGTCCTAGAAAATTCTGGTGCCTCTGAAGGAGGGCTTGAAAGAAAGAATGTCTACCTAGACCACAGTTCTGAACACAGACAATAGCAAAAGATATCAGACCTCTCTCACTCCATATCAGATGTCCATTGCAAATATAGAAAGTTTGGAAAAATCTTGTTTTTATTGTTTGGTATTTCCCTATCTGACACGTTTGAGGAATGAATGTTTTCTGACTTTTGTATTTCCATACTCTGCACAGACCCTATGTGGTATGATTTTCTATTCTTTAGCTCCAAGTGTCTATAGAATGGATTGCCTGGTAGGTCAACTGCCCTCACTCTTGTGTAGTAGACATATCCTTTCAGGTTGGGGACACAGAGGAGATGAACTGGATTCCTCCTCCTGTTCTCATACCTTTCTGCATTGGCACTTTACTCGCTCAGTGTTTCTGCTGTGTTAGGTGTATTTGTGAGACTGATGTAGCAATAAAGTAAAATCTGCCCCTCTATGTGCTTGTCTGACGGTCTCTGTGTCAGGGCCCAAGTCTAGAAATGGGACGCCCACGTGCAGCCATCATTTTTTTGCTCTGCGGTTCTTCTGATCACGGGGCCTGCTCCTCAGGTCCTCCATTGTGACTAGTTCTCCCATTCTATGAATGTTCTTGAAAAAATTAGTGAACCATATGTAGTTGGGTTTTATAATCTGTAGTAGTTGATTCAAAGTATCAAATGAGGTAAGCCATTTGAATGTCTACCATTAGAAGCATTATACATAATAACATTCTTTTATGATGGAATTTTCAGTGTGTAGGAGGATACTTCTAGAAAAGTAATAAATGTGTAATCATAAACAGTTGGGACATGGTTGGGAAAGGAAATAATTGAATGAGTTTTAATGTGTAATTATAATCATTGCCTCAATGGCATTCCAAATAAATGTATTTTATAGATAGCAGAGATGTACCTTTTAAGCATAACTAGTTTAAAAATTTAAGTAGTTCACATTCAGCATGTTTTGAATATCATGGTCTGGATTTATGCTTCTACTACTACTCAAAAGATATCCTCATTCCATTTAAAAAATTTTGCCTTCTTTTTGTCTGTGTAATCTAACAATGGAAAGTGGCCAGTTATCAAAAATGTGCCCCCCCAAACTGGCTCTTAAGCAGCAGGTGATTGATTTAATACTCAAAAATCATCTCAAAAATTAAAACTAAAAAAAATAGAGTTTCAACAGGTAAAAGCTGTAACTTTCATTTCTAAAAACATTACTGTATTTGCCTAATAAGGGTGAATTTGGATTACAGAAATTTATGTGATGATTATATTGATAACTTAGTTGATTACACATGGTTACACATAAAGGTTCTGTGTGTAGATAATTTCATTTGCAAGACAGAGACCTGCGTAATTGTTGGAGTACCCAGAAAAGGACAACAGTCACATGACGATTGTCTTCACAGTTATCATGTGCAGAGTGTTGTTTCTGTATCACAAGGCAAACATTTCTAGTAGGTGGAGGTGACTCAGTTGGTGGGAAGCGCCTAGCAAAAACCAGGGACTATGCCAACACCCACCAAGTAGGCAATACTCTTCATAATTTTGCAGAAGAAAAAGTATCCCATAGTGGAGTGCCTGGATCTGAGTACTGCCTCTGCTAATTCAGCTTCCTGCTAACGCCCACCCTGGAAAGTGACAGATGATGGCTTGAGTCTGTCACCCATGTAGGAGACCTGGGTGGCGTTCTGAGCTAAAAGGGGAATATTCTGTTGAAAATGGAGACAGAAAGCTCAGCATCCTGAGGTTTAAAAAAAAAAGTCTTTCCCTGGCTTGGATTTTAGAACTCTGAAACTTGACGGGTATCTTGGAACAGTCCTGCCAGTGTCACCCTCTCCAGGTGGCTGTTTCTCACACGGTCTGGTTTGGGAGATGAGGTGGATGCTGACTTTCACCTTCCTGCTTCCAAACATTTCTCCGTTTGCCTTTAAAAATTCTTTTAGTCTCATACCAAACTATATCACCCATTTAGCTGCATTGGCTTTGGAGTACATTGTCTCTGTTTTAAAGTTCCTCATCATCATACACAATATGTAAATGAATTAATGATATTTTTATTTCATGTAACTTTTACATGTTGTTATATGGTAGCACCTTTAGATTTTATACCCC